AAATAAAAATATTGGAGCATAATTTTGGAACAAAATGAAAACAGCCAAAATATTGTATGAAGTCTTCGATTCGAGCAAATAAAAAAGGTAAGTTACTGGTTACTAGGAGAATTATATTAATTTTTTTTTTTTTTTGCTAAACTATTGAAGACATTAAAGAACGGAATGAAAGTTACATAGCGCTCCACTGTAAAATTGGCTTTAGGTAATGCAAAATGGAAAGGATTAAAAAGAAAGCCACTTTTGTTGGCTCTTTTATTCTTTTATTTGGTATACTTTTTTATCCTCATCGTTTACCAGAACGTTTGAGCGGGCAGCTCCAAAAAGAGTAAACTCGGAGGCCACAAAGTCCCATTGCGAAGCCCAGGGAGTTTCCCCATGCCTATCCCTACAAGTCTTTGAAACATCTTGATTCTCTAGCGAATCCTAGCAGTCCTTGGTGTTGAGCTTTCCCTAAGATATCTAAGCTCTCGAAGAAGGGATCCGCCATAAATTTTAGGCGTTTTCCTCGGAGTGCTGGGTATACGCAGAGGAAGTGCTGGATGAATGCCTTCTCCTCCTCATCTCTGCAACTTCTGCAGAAATCGTTAGACGTGGCTCCGAACCTGGCGGTCATGTGATCAATGGTCAAGTGTCCCGTCAGTATTCCTGTGAGAAGCCTAACGTTTAGCTTTGAGAGCCTTAATAAACTCCCTGTTCTTCCTGTTCTTCATGCAGGTGTGAATGGGTGTGTGACACCTACTGTTGGTGTCTCAAAACTTCTGAAGACAGACATCTCAGGTGAGGTTTTACGATCTGGGTCGCTTCCCCAAGTTTCATCTCAGATCCCTCTCTAGCACATTCGTCCGCTTCCTCATTTACCGGGACACCACTATGTCCCAGGACCCAGTAAAGATTGGTTATATGTTGCTGTAGCGCTTGTAGGGATCTTCCCCATTCCTTGACGCATATCGAGTTAGTCGTTGCCGACCCGCCGTACTTTTGCGTACTTTGCCGCCGTATGGATTGCATATAGTACCTCAACCTGCAAAAACACTGCAATAATATGGGAGTCTATAGGACTCTTTCAGAGATAACTGCTGAGAATGGGTATTTCGTCATCGTTAAGAACAATATTAATTTTTCGAAAGGAGTTGCCACCTGTTAAATAATTACACTCAAGTTATTTAATAATAAATCCCTTCACATCCGCACCAATCGTTCGATTTTGGAAAGTGAGGTGTTAAATCAAAGGGCTGGATTAAAGGCACGGATGTTCAATAAAGTTTTACTTTTTCGAAAAGAGTTGCCACCAGTTAAAAAATTAGGCTCAAATTATTTAAAAAGTTAAATCAATTGCTACATTATGGATATTAACTGAAATGGATTTGAAAAGGCTTTATACTACGGGTTACTTATTTTCTGGGTGCATTTCTAACCAAATTTAATTTGACTTTGAATATAGGCTGCTTAACTTCTACATATGTATAATAAAATTCACGTATATTTAAGTATATTCTCACGCTTAAAGCGCGCTTACAAATGCGTACAAAAAATTTTATATGTGGGCTGAGATTACCAAATAACTCTTAAGCTATGCAAAGACTAACCTAAATACAACTCTTAGCTTAATATAAAACAATTCACATAAAGGCGATTTATTTTCGCTGTTCATATTCTACATTTTTGCTTTGTACTCAAAAGCAAACCAAAAACAAAAACTATAAAAAATAACAGCACAGCCTAATCCGGTTTAAAAAATCTGCAACTAAATAAATCAAATCTGCATTGCTAAATCCACCAAAGAAGTATAAAATGCAATCAACAACAAGTGCAGCAGCAGCAACAACCAACATCCAGCCCACCAGCGCAACAACAACAAAGGTCCATAAAAACGCACATTTAGCCAAAAATGGATTTGGCAATTGCAAAAGTGCTCGTGGCACGCATTTGACGCAGTCACCAAGAAGTGGGTCAACATTATGCTCTGGCCAAAAGTGCAACAGAAAAACAAAAACTAAAAAAAAGGTAAATAAATACTATAATACCAAAATGCTAACAACAACGACGAATTGCAGTGAAATGATTAAGGAAAACAACTGGCTGGCTGGCGGGTTGCGAGTGAGAACAAGTTTTATCATAATTTTTGCTTTTATTTTTAGGAGAAAAAAAAGTCATTCATTTTCATTGAAGGAAATAAACTAAAAAAAATTTATACACGTTCATGCGCGATCACCGCCTGAGGGCATTCCAGTGCGCGTTTCCCAGCTACGCTGTGTCGCTGTGTCGCCGCCGCCGCCGCCGCTGCCGCTGCTCCCATGTGCACTGCTGCGCATGCGTATGTGTGTTTGTTGTTATTGTTATTGTTGCAGCAACACACCTTTCAACTGACCAGTTTTCGTTGAATGGCCAAACGTGCAGCAATGCGCAATCATTGGCAGCCGCAACAGCATTGCAACATTTGCCAAAACAAAAATGCAAAAAAATGCAAAAAAGCATCAACGTAAAATGGGCACAAAAACAAAAGGAGAATGCAACGACACCGATTATTGCACGCGCAATGGAAAATTGCTTGGCCTGCCAGCGGCGTGCATGTATATATTGGATTTTGCCAACAACATGTTGCATGCAATATTACTTATATACATGTATGTATGTACGCTGTTAATGCAACATGGTTTCCAAGCAGGAAACGTAAACTGCATAAGTATGGGATTTTAAAGCGGTGGTAATTCTGAATGAATTGGTATGTAGGTAAAGGTTAGATTAACTTAGTCGATCGATAAGATCTCACTTAGACCAATTACAGGTCCCGAGTGTTGCTAAGGGTATGGATGTTGCGCCATCTTCAGTGACTGGAATTTTATCCGAAATAAAGCATCGTCACAACCTGTCGGAATAATCAATGAACGCCAACAAATAAGATTTAAGTACCAGGTTGACCGAGCTTTGCCCGGAGTGCATATACTTTTTAAAGTTTTCAAGATTTGGATAGCTTTATAAAAAAATATTTTGGAAAAAAAAATGGATTTCGATATTTATTAAGTAAATTTCTTACTCCAAAATTTAGGTGGCAACCCTATTCGGAAATACGCTGGAATGAATGGTACATATCTTGAGCGTATATGTACTCTGTATACTTAAAATAATGCTGATTGAAATAAAAAAAATAAAAATTTGTATTACATAGAAGAGTGGCAACGCTGACCAAAGTTCTCAACAATACCTTTCATTTGATGGCGATGTTGTTTTAGATAAATTGTCTAGAATCGAAAATAAGTGGCAACCTTACGCTATTATCTTAAAGTATAACATTTTGTATATAGGGAAAGCATTGTTTAAGAACCTTCTTTTGGTACCCTTGAATATTTAGTAATATTTTACCTTATTTTAAACAAAAAATTAAATAAATATGCGATTCAAAATAGGTGGCAACCCTATTAAAAATATTTTTGAATTATTGATCTATAAAATGCCTTCCGTTTTATACCCATAATATCATGTTTTAATTAATTTGTAACTAATTTCGAATAGGCGGCAACCTTATGCGAGTCTTCTCGTAGATAATGCCTATTCAGATAAACTTAAAATCCAAAATATTATCTGTGTACAAAATTGCATTAAAATGGCTAGAGCCGTTTCCGAGAACCTTATGGATATATATATATATATAGATATATATACAAGGATTGCTCTTTTATTGTAATAAAATTTAATAATAGAGTGCTACAAAAAAATGGCTGCATGTACTTTTTTATGTCATGTAGTATATGTTGTAGTGCAGGTCTAGAAAATAATTTTAACATTAGCAGAATTTCAATTACACCCCAAAAATCTTAATTTTTGATTGAAAAAAATTGAAAATGTTGGGTCAAAACACCGGTCATAAATTGATCGGTTTTCAAAGAACTCTGATAATCTTATGTTCGTTGAAAATCGAAAGATTGTGTCTTTAGGAAATTTAATAATTTTGACTCCGAGAACCAAAACGCTTGAGAAAAATCTTCTATTACACCCATACCTAATGCTTTACCTAAAACAAACTAAATTTCCTCTTCTATAAAAGGAGCAATTTCAATTTCGAAAAATTTACTTGATGGATTTTTTTTTATTATTTTTTTCGAAGCTTAGTATCTAACGAATTCCTATTCAAATTGTTTATTAGTTTTTTAAGGGGAACACCATGGCAGGCGTGTATTATTAGCAGTCTCCGTTTTTGGCGATAAAAGTAACGAGGAGCAAATTATCCAAAAATTATTTCAAAGGGTTATTTTTCATAAATTTGCATTTAGGAGGTAGTACCCAAGATTGACAGTATTAAACAATGTTATAGCTAATTTGTACTTTCAAGTGAATCAAAAAAATAAAATAAAACAGGTTCCTAAAATGAGATCCAAACGAACCTAGTCCGATGCCTATAGGCAAAGAAATTATCCCGATGCGCTGAAGAAAAATAACGCGCCCATTCAAATGAAGCGGTGTGTATTTTTCTACAGATTTTGTATAATTATATGCAACAGTAGCAATCATAATGCAATGCAATACGAGGCAAAAGAGGTGTTTCACAAATTGAAACGTGTCTAAGATCAATCACACAAGCCAAAGCAAAGAAAAAATCACAGCAAAATGCGGCGCTACGGCAAATTTGATGCAAAGGTAAAAAAAGAAATAAAATAAAAGCGCAGAAAATGCAAAAAAAAGCACTCAAAAATACATATGTAACTACACTATTCGGACTAAAAATCCGCATTCTGCGCATGCTTAAAATACCAATTGTTTTCTCTTTAATGTTACTTTCAATTTTTCAATTTTTACGTGAAGATTTCAGTTTTTTTGCCTGAAGCGCGCATTTACAAGCCGATGGGCAAACAATTGTACGTAAGTGGATACACAATGTTTGCCATTTTTTATGCGCCTGCTTATTGTACATATGTACATATGTATGTATGTAAGTATGTACTTCCATATTGTAATCGTTTATATGTGTCCATTCGACATTTTTGTCAGCGTTTTCTTTCTTATGGTCAAAGGGTTTTCACTTGTCTTGGACTCTTTTTTTATCTGCGTTGCTGTCGATTACTTTGTTTGCGTTTGCGTTTGTGGCTGGC